AACTTACTTAAGAATTTCAAAGAAATGGAAACTGACCTGAAATCTAAGCAAGATAAAATGGTGAAAATTGAAGCTGAAATGCTGCGAATGGAAAGACATTCTAGAAGCTATAATCTCCGATTTGGAGGAATTGAAGAGAGAGAAAGCGAAGATCCAAAGCAACTTGTTCTGGATATATTAAAACATGACCTTAATTTAGATGAGATAACGATTGAAAATGCACACCGAACCGGTAAAATAAAGAAAGGTGAGATTCAACGCCCAAGACATATTATCGTGAAATTCGTCTTTAGGACACAAAGAACCATCGTGATCCGCAAAGCCAAGGCCATGAAGGTAAAAACTTTTTACGTTATGGAGGATTTGCCGGCTGCTGACATACAGAAAAAGAATGAACTTAAAGATGTAATGTCCAAAGCTTTCAAAGAAGGAAAACGACCATTGTTTAGAAATGGAAATCTTTATATCAATGGGAAACTCTATATTAAATGAATGCACATTAACATAAATTTGTCTTCACTATATATATTAAAAATGTACTATATCTATTGTTTTTTGTACTAGGTCTAGGCAAATTTCTTGCCCTTGTTTTTCGAACACAAATTATATTATTTCAAAATGCATTCCTTACATTGTTTATTCATTGAGCTATTCTTATTGTATATGATAGTACATACTTATTAAATTATGCATGATGTTATATGGTCATCATATTTATATTCTAGTATTATTATTTTCATTATCTTGTTATTGTATTCCTTTTCTCGACTGATATATATAGCGCAAATATTGTATGCTAAAAATCTTTAAAATTATGTGATAAATGGCAAATAATGAGTTTATAAATCTACCTTTTCACGGGGTAGACTATTCTAATGAATTATTTAATGTTTCATTGAAATCTCCTGAAATGTATAATCCTGTTTTTAACCCATTATTAGATGATGACTTAAAATTTGATGATCTGAAATGCTAGTTAATCACCTTAACTTTAGGTCATCCACACTTGATTTGTGCAAATACTTTGATATTAATCAATTTAACCAACTTATAAAGAATAAAAGCACTAATCAATTATCCCTTTTTCACCTCAATGTTAGAAGTGTGTCAAATAAACATGACAGATTGGAAGAGCTTTTTAATTACATCAACCTCAAATTTTCTATCATTGGTCTCTCTGAGACATGGTTAAACGACCAAAAGAATAATCCATTTTTAGAAGGATATAATTTTTTATCTTGTAATCGTATTGGTCGAACAGGAGGAGGGGTTGGATTATTCGTTAAAAATGAAATTAGTTTCAAGTTAAGACATGATTTAATTTTGCCAAAAGAAATATGTGATTCCCTCTTTATTGAAATTC